GCAATCGGACAATTTTTAGCAAATATACAGCTTACTGAAATTTGTATACATGTTGGTTCCAAACAAAAATGAAGATTTAAATTAATTTTTGTTTGCTTTGTGGATTATATTTATCGATAAAGTAAAATTTGATGTCTTAATCTTTTGATAAGTTGCATTCTTTTCTTTTCTTATTAATTTGGCATTTGATAACAATATGCTGTGCGAATTTTTCACACGGGCCTACTAGTTATGAATAAATTGAAATAGTTAAAATGTGAAAGCTCAATAGTTCGATTCCTATTGGATTTAGAAAAACATGTCATATAATTTTAAGCTGTTAAATATTGAATATACTATTTTTTTTTTTTTTTTTTGTAGATAAAACCATATTTGTAGCTCTAAACAAGAGATATTTAGCGCAAACCAAAAAAAGTTCGAAATTTCAATTTGTTTTGGAGCACAGTAGCGAACTCACAAGGCTTTCAATGGCAAAAACTTGGATTTTTAACATTCACTAAATACTTAACAATATGAAAAAGAAATTTGAACTACCCGACCTTTTGCAAGGTAACATCTAATTTGACTGTGATATGAACGTCGACCAGGGAATTATGCGGCTACACTCGCCTAAAAATAATAGTTCTTTACTCGCTAAATAAAATCGAGGTGATAACATTGCGGAAAATGAAATGGACGTGTTAAGTTGAATAAATAAAAACTTGTATTTATTTATTATTATAATTAAGATGCAATTTAAATTCCTACCACCGCTTGTAATTTTTCATACTTGATCTCAAAAGTATAATGATTTACGTTTTATTAAATTTAAAGGAATTATGCTAAATAATTTCTTTTTTAAAGTTTTCTTTGTTTCCATTGAGAAAACCGTCACATCATGGTGCAACGCAAGGATTTATGCTTCAGCAGTTTTCATGGCCGCTGCTTATTTAATTTATTATTTAGTTTTCTCATCAACAGCTACAGCACAAGATCTCCAAGGAACAAGATTGGAGTTTTAATAAGCATTACGATATTTTTTTAATTATACAACAGTGCCTTAGAAGGATGTCATTAGAAAATAAAATGGTTCTTTAAATAAATAAAATGGTTCTTTCTGTCTAATAGATCCATTTATTTGTTAATTGCATATTTATAATGTTGCCTATCAATCATTAATAAATTCACTGTATTAAAAACAATTTTATTTATCAACTATGAAATCGGTTTAAATATTATAATTTGTCTGGAACAAATTGTGTTCTTTATGATGTATTTCAGCCCTGCATTTGCAAACTTAGAGATTTGATTTCGGATTATTCTAATAGTGTCCTAATAATATTTTATTTTTTAATTGCTATAAAAATATACATTAAAATTATTTAGACTAAAGGAAGATCTGAGTTGGAAACATGTAAGTAATCGGATTGAGTTTTTAAAATAAAGGTGCTGGCTTCTCCTAAACCTCCGCGTGAATGTGCTATGAATAAACGTAATGCGACGATTGTTTCGTTCTCTAAGGGACCACTGATTACCCTTGAACTGCGATGGGATTCCCGGTGTACCACTTCCACTTCGGCAAATAGGGCGAGGTGGAGGTTACCTGTCGAAACCTGCCAGTTTTGACCTCGGCTCTGTTAATTCTTCAGGGAACAGCCTCAGCTGTCGCTGCTAATCATTGCGGCAAGCTTGAAGCATACCTAACATTCATGAGTTTACTTGGAAATTTCTAAATAACAAAAAAAAAAAAAAAAAAAAAAAAAAAACGATGCCAAGAAACAATGAATCAGTAATTAGTAGGTACATTTGACAAAATTTTAAAAATAAATTCTTCCAAGTATGGTCAGTATAACTTCATCAACGTTTTCATTGGCTAATAAATATCTATATAACAGGATCTAATTTTTTTTCGCATGAGAATAAAATCTCTGGGAAAAGCCGTTTTCGGAAATTCAATTATCCCTGATATATACGGGTTAGACACCCATGAGTTCTGTTCATCAGCAAATACTAAACTACGAAAGAATCCATATTTGCAGATTGTATATTTGATGTGTGATTAAAAAAAAGAAAACAGTGCATACTGAACATGCATATCGCTACTGTTAGTGCAAAAGGTTGTTTAAAAATTAAGTATTTTACCAGAGAGCATAAATAAAAATTAATTATAAAAACCTCTGCTATTTTACATAATAAATTTTTTTAATTTATTTATTTATTTTTTATTTTTTTTCCTTATGTGGTAACCCCACACAAGGATCGTTTATTTGATTTTCCTTCATGCTCCATCCCTAAAAGACATACTACATGAATTACATTTGTTTACAATGGTTTTTTTTGTAGTTTTACATGATATACATTTTTACTTCAAATTTATATACATTAACAAACAAAAATACAAAGAATAAAACAGTAAATTTATTATTAATATATATATATCAATCCCTGGAAACTACTGAAGGGGTCAATATATATATATATACATATCTCCCTTATCTGGACAATATATATATTCCTGATAAGGGGACCCCACTTCAATAAATTCCTAAAAGGTTAATATTTGATGCACCGAATGGTAAACGTCCGAGGGGTAGACCGAATCGAAGAACGGAAGATAGCGTTAAAGCCGATCTGAAGGGACTGGGTCTGGACGGCGAACGATAGAGAGAAGTGTGTAATAAGCGATTGGTGGTGTCGGCATCAAACCTTCGGGTTGGCTAAGCCTTTTATTATTATTATTATTATAAGAGGGGCTTCAGACTCCAGCCGAGGGCCCCAAACGGAGCCTCAATCAAGGTCGGGCCTGGCTGGAATATAAAAATATGAGTGAAGTTCATACAACTTTGACGTTTAACGAGGAAATCGAGTCCAGGCCGAACTGGTTGAACTTCAATAGAAATAAACACAATCAATAATAAGACTTTTTTTGTTTAAACAGAGTAAAAATTAATTTACTGAAAATCACACGAAATCTTGGTAACGACAGAAAGTTTCATGCCTTAACATTTGGAATCTACCGAAGCATACCGTATAAATTAACTTTTTGAATAAAACCTTAAATATTGTATTAACCTGACTCCCACAAAATATGGATCGATGCCTTCCACATTTCACAGCCATTATATTGTTAATAATTATTTATATTAATTTTAATTATTAAATTGAATTCAATGAAATTGAAATTAGGTCATTTCCATTCTATTCTCCTAATTTCTTGCAAGTTTTTGACATCGAAGGAGCAGTTTTCAAACAATAGATGTGTCAAATAATACATTTCCTGATATGAAAGCGAAAGTTTTTTTTTTTGGAAGTAATGGATAGAATTTGATTACGTACTTGATTATCTGTTTACCAATCCCCAACTTCCATCCAAATTTGAGCCAATCGAACTTGCGATTTTAGAGATATGAGATATGAGATATGAGATATGAGATATGAGGTATGAGATAAAATTGATATTGGACCATCTAGACACCAACCAGTCCTTGAAAATTTAATGAAAATCCGATAAACAGTTGTAGGTGATACGCCCGTTACATCAATTTGACTCTAGACAGACAAGCAGACAGACACCAAACCAAATTTGTACTTGATGTCTGAAACGTAAAATGCGAGTGGAAATTTTCGATTCTGAGCACAAACTTGGAAGTGAGAAAGCAAAAATATATATTTATAATGAAAACTAAAGTTAATTTTTTTAGTATCTTTTAGCTGGTTGATAAAATAATAACAAATTATTTTAATTCACTTTATTAGTGTATGAATTATTTATTTATATTGTGAAGTTTTCTACATTACCTGCAAGTGGTTTTGTCATAATATGTTACAAAGGTTTTGTGTTCTGCTCTCAAGGTATAGTATGCATGTGATGGTTTCAGGCCTTTCATTTGATATCCATAAGTGATGAATGTATGTCCTATTCTCAATTTCCTCTGTATTCCTTCTTCAAATTTGGACTTTCTTGAAAAGACTTTTAATGTGAGGGTATCTTTTATGATTTCTTATAGCTTTTTTGTATGAATGCTCCTAATATATATCTTAACTATTATATTTTTACATCGCAAAATAATTTTTACCCAACTACAAAAAGGGACGCTTAAATGGTCAATATTAAATGACTAACAAATATTGAAGGACAACAAATCCTTTTTACACCTTTACACGTTCAATGATTCTTACTGTACAAATGATATTATAACACATTAAACAATAAATGAATACTGTCATTTCAGCATTCTATTTCACCTTTCTTGACATATTCTTGGACATTAATTAACTGGGCAGCACTAGTGTATTAATAATTTATTTGAAATAGAAGAGGAAAAACCAGAAAGGTTTGATAAAAAAAAAAAAAAAAAAAAAAAAAAAATGGCTCCCTGACATAGGCATTAGGTTTTATATTTTTATAAATTTGAAGTGATTTCCTTAAAGCTTCCACCCATTTATGTTTTTTGAAAATAATTTGGATCTATGAAATTCAATAGTTCAAGAAGGATTTTCCTTATCATAGATAAAACATCATCAATAATAAATTCAAAATGAACATGGTTAAAGAACAAATTTTCTTAAGAAATTGGCATGAATAATTATTCAAGTTTCCAGTTTTCTTCAGAGTAAGAACACAGCATTAAAAAAAAAAAAAACTCTTGATCATAAAACTAATTTATTTACTAAATAATGAATAGTTAATATGCTTAAAAAAAAAAAAGATCACGATAAAAAAAAAAACAATTACGTTTAGTTGTGATTTAACTCTATTATTGTCAGCGACATAAATGTTGTTTAACAGTTATAATTTATTATAATTATTTAAAGATTTAAAAAATTGTATTTCGTACGTTTAACGATTTTACTGAGACCTCTCTGTTAAATAATTCTTTTAAATTGTTTTTAGAACTTTCAAGGAACATATGGATACAATTCAGAGCCAAATATTTGCTAATTTTCATTAAAATAGTCTAAGAATATATTATTAATATTACTCAATCACTTCATTTATTTAGAATAAAGGGAGGAAAAAAATCAAAACTTTTCTGTTTATTGTTTGTTCTTAGTGAATATTTATTGTTGTAAAGTATTTTTTAGGGATCATTATTGAATCAAGAATGCCATAAGTTTTAAGATCTTTTATTTGATAAAGTAGAAAATAATTTTTAAAATAATAAACTTAATTTCTGTCCTATGATAACTCTGTTATGTATTTTCTCAGCCATGGTAAGTGGTGTTTAACAGACGTGAAAGCTGTCGGAACTTTTCCTTTGGAATGGGCTTGCCATGACACTATTCCTATCTGCACCATTTTATTTGGATCATCTTTTAATGGACAAAACAAAGGCCCACCACCATCACCCTGCAAAATAAAACAGTTAAACGCATGAATTCATGGCTATCTTGATATATAATAATTTTCTTAAAATTTCAAACTAAGGATTTCAATAATTACATAAGTTAAATTTATACTTTTTAATAAACAGGAAAAAAAATTAAGGAGAAGGAAAAACAAAACACATGTTCCTAGCAACTGTACACAATAGATTATTGATTTTTTAATGTATAGTACTAAATAAGTTCATAGAAATAGTTTAAAGAAGACTTGTATGTTATGTTATAGGAATCTAATATAGCTTGGCGACATCTGTTTTAATAAAGTATTTCTACCTCTAATTTAATTTAATTACAATTAGATAATGCAGAAAGTATCAGATCCACATTGAACAGTGCAAAACTCAAAATTATTGTTTTAAATTTTTAAAAAGTATTTCTTGTTCAATCTCTAAAATCTCAAACTATCAAATTTTATGTAAAAAAACAATAAAGCCATCACTTGATCCACGAGAGATCTACCAAACAAGAAGAACAATATATGGAATATGTATTTTTCCAACTAAAACAGACTATTTAAATACCATCCATTACTACCTGATTGTTTGATATACCTATCAATAAAAATACCTGAATTAATATTAAAATGAATATAATTACAACAATGTCATAAATAAAGAAAAAAAATATTGTAATAGGTACAATTTTTTTATCACTTCAATAGTATAATTAGTATATATTTCGTTAAGGTAAAAGAACAAAATATACCATAGATTCTTCAGCGTGAAAAAGTAAAAGTAAAAAAAAAAAAAAAAAAAAAAAAAAAAAAAAAAAAAAAAAAAAAAAAAAAAAAAATTAAAATTAAGTTTCTTTCCCAGTCTCAAGAACTCCTTTTTTTAATTTGTTTTTTTTTTATTATGGCTGTCGCTGCATTTCAGTAGAGTTCATGAGTTGGTTTTCTGTGCTGAGGTATGCTTGGAAGACAGTTTGTTTGTATGGGATGACCAAGTTCTCCGAAAAGTCTCAAAGATAATTAAGATTAATTTTCTCCGTTTCATCTCTATAAAATGGTCTTCAGGTGATTAGAACTGACAAACATAAAGTTTTCCTCCTTTTCCATGTTTGGAGGTGGATCATCCAGAGTCCGTGATATTATATCTCGCTGATAGGGTCTCATCCTGTTGTACTGGGGTGAGAAGTCTGTCACCATCATGCAGTTGGATAGTTGATGACTTTTTAACTGCACTTTTATTTAACTTCCAAAATTTAAGGTAGAGGTGGGGCCATTCCTATTGTGTCAAAAGATATGAGTGTCCAGGTGGACAACTGCAAAGGATGTTTTTGGCACTATCTTGCCTATCCCATTGGTAGAAGTGTTATGACAGAAGCTATGATGAGAGTTGAAGTTCCATACGACCCAGTGATTTTTCTTATTCCCATCATCATCATCATCATCATGTGTGGCACGACATCCCGTTACCGAGACTGGGCCTCCTCCAAGAGCCTCCGCCAGTTGGCTCTGTCTTCTGCTGCAGCTCTCCAGTTCCGTACACCAAGCAGGGTTCTCGCTTTCTTATTCCCACAGATGTCCAATGGTTGCCAAAATTCTTGCAGTGACCCTCGAGGTCAGGGGTACAAGCCCATGATATATGTGCCATATCAAAAGTTGTATAGTGAGGTAGCTTAGTTTGGTGACTCAAATGGTCTGGAGTCCCCGCATTTTCTTCCATTGGTTATATTATTATCGTAACGCCTCTGTGTGGGTCATGGGCGTTATCGGTGACTACAGCATATCCTTGGATGCATGGTGGTTAGTTTAGTAGTCTTATATTTGTCAGAACAGTTTCTGTGGGCTGTGTCAGTGCCAGTCCGTTGCAGTTGAACTTTAAGACCTTAAATAAGTTAATGGTTTATTGATCAATTTGCTTGTGGTTAGCTGCATCAGAGTAGCTAGTTGGCTAATGACTTCTGAGATGGTCTTAGTGAAGTTTTCTAGCCATGGTGGTGGGTCAGTAGTAGATTGTGGCGGAGGGGTTTGTTGAGTCGATGGAGATGAGTTCTTGGGTTGTTTTGCTTCTGATTATGTAACTATCTTCATGAATTCATGCCCAGGTCTGAGGTTATTGTTTCTTTTTTCTTGTTTCTTTTCTTTTCTCTCTGCCTTGACATGGTGGGTGTCGCAGCTGGTTTGGTAGATATTTTTATTAGGGGTTCTCTTATTCTCAAGAATTTCTAATAAAAATATCTACTTAAAATTTTCTATTATTGTTACTTTCCTTGGGCTTATAGTTGATTATGAACTAAATACATATTTGAATTTTTATTTTATTGATGATTCAATTACTAATTTTCTACTTTCAAGGAATACCAAGTAGGTATAATACTGTTTTATTAGTGCTGATATTTTGGCCTAAGTTGAAGCCCTTCTTTGGGATGACAGAAGTAAGTCAAATCTATACTTGATAGTTGATTGAGTGCTATAGATTATTGTAAGCCTTCGTTAGAGTGACTGAAGCAAGTCAAATCTAAATTTGACAGTTGCATGAGGGTTATAGATTAGTCATTCTGACGAAGGCCTTCAACTTTGACCAAAACATTACAGCAGTATTACACTTGCTGTGTGTGTGTGTTTTTTTTTTCTTGTTTGAATTCATAACAGCCTACAGTAAATGATACTTCACCCAATTAAAAAAAAAATATTACAAAAATAATGCTAATTCGTTTTAATTTTTTATTTTACAAGAAAAAAAAAATGTAAATTCAATTTAAACTCCTAGAATATTTCGATTAGTATCAGAATTTAACTTTTGAAAACAAAAGTTTCTATTTATATCTGTTACTTGAAAAATATTAATCAAACTTGAGATCATATGTAATTGAAGGGTAATTATAAAAACCAGACAATATAAAAATTGTTATAGACACTAAAATCAAATTTTCTGTAATAAAATATTCAGGCTTATCCATTGGCTATTACCATGTATACCACAATGTAAAAACATGATCAATTTTTTAAGAAATAAAATCAATAGGAAAATAATGTAAATTATGTAATAGGTAGATAAATAGGTTTTTACTTTCTTACAAATAAACATTTATCATCCATTTGTTATCAGTCTTTAAAGTTATCCCAAATAACTTTAAAGACTGATATTTAAGAATTATTAAAAAACATCTTTTTGGTTATAGTAGTGTGATTTTGAAACCAGTGAACACATTTACCTCCAATTATTAATAGGATGGGTTTAAAATGATTAATATTGTAATTTGTTCTATTTATGATAATATTTTGTTTTCAAAATGGTCTTTTGTATTTTTCACTTACATTTCTTGCACCATCCTCTTCATCACTAAGACCACATATGTTAGATTTATGATAGAATTGTAGGGAACCAGTAGTTTTCATTTCTTTAAGGCAATATTCTTGAGATTTGTATGTGTAGTTTATCTTTTTAATAATAGATAGAAGTGAACCATCTGAAAAGATAAATTAATTTTGTAATTCTTGATTTTTCTGTTTCTATGAAAAGGTGTGATTAAAATTGAGTTGTGTACATAGTTCAATAAATTAATTTTTTTTTCTTGTAAAAATTATGATTGTATGCTCAACTTTCTACTTGCTAATTTTCTAACATGTAGTACTAGACAAACAGTAGCATACTATTTTGTACAAAAGGTATGTGTACACTATGTTTACATTAATACAAATAAACAATTTGGGACAGAGCAGAATTAGGGCTGTTTCAGTAAGTGGAATTTTCCCCATCTATTCTTCCACCCCTCCTCCTTTACCTATGGGCTAACGCATGTGCACGGCACCGCAAGTTGCCAGGCAACCAGATAACAGATATGAGAGATTAAATAAAAAGTATGAGTTCGCGTCCCGGTGCCAGAGAGGATTTTAAATTCCTTGCCCACACCTCCGGGCCCGGGAAAATCCCGTATAGCCTAAAAGGCGAGGCAGGGAAGAACAGGAAAAAAAAAAAAAGTTGTTAACGCCATAGCATCAATTAATTTTATTTCAAATAATAATTTAATTAATTATTGATTTGGTTTATTTAAAAAAATGAAATCAATTATTAATTATATTATATATTATATTCATATGCCCATATCGTTTGTATTTGATATAGACTGGTACATAGTTTATACATATAACTTAGGACTTGTTTATAGCTAGCAACAATATATATATATATATATATGGATTTTAGCCCTAGCAATAAACAAGTCCTAAGTTCAAGCACTAAGCCCGTGGACTTCGCCAATATACTGTCTGACTCCGTCCGTTACTGAGCTCAGTGCAGCAAGCCTCGATACTGCCTACTGCAGTCATATGGTGAAAAGAGCTACTTCTTTCTTTCAACTCATCGGGCTCACCGCTTGCTGTTTGATTATATGAGCACTCACAAAAAATCTACGTTTGGTCGCTGTATGAGGATTGAATTGCCAGCAGTTCAACCACTTTTACGACCATCACCTGCTTGCGTCGACGTATACAAATTTAATAATAATAATAAAAGACTTAGCAAACCCGAAGGTTCGATGCCGACACCACCAATCACTTATTACACACCTCCCTCCACCGTTCACCGTCCAATCATATTGTAGGGGGAGGGGGAATGTCCCTTATTTACAAAAAAATCAAAAATTTACAAAAAATCGAAACATTAATTTGGAATGGAAATGGTTGAATTTTAATTGGAAAAGGTTTAATTTGAAATGGAAATGGTTGAATTTACTTGGAAATGGTTGAATTTACTTGGAAAAAGTTTAATTTGACTTGGAAAAGGTTGAATTTGACTTGGAAAAGATTGAATTTGACTTGGAAAAAATTGAATATGACATGGAAATATTATACTGAAAAAATTTAAAAAGTTAAAATAAATGGATATGCAACCGCGTTATCATATTTTTTTTGTATTTTTCAAAAATTATGCCTTCGATAACATAGTAAGTGGCCTTCATTTCGAAAAAAATCGAAAATTGACAAATATTTTAAAGTTGAATTTGAAATGGAAAAGGTTGAATTTGACTTGGAAAAGGTTGAATTTGAAATGAAAAAGATTTAATTTGAAATGGAAAAGGTTTAATTTGAATTGGAAAAGGTTGAATTTGAAATGGAAAAGGTTGAATTTGAAATGGAAAAGGTTTAATTTGAATTGGAAAAGGTTGAATTTGATTTGGAAAAGGTTGAAATTGACTTGAAAATGATATATATATATATTTTTTTTAAATTCAATATATATATATATATATATATATATATATATATATATATTGAAAAGGGACTATTATTAGCTAACATAGAGCTGATTTGATCTTGTAGACATGCTTTGTTTTGAAAATTAATTTCTGTAATCGACCAAAAAAAAAAAAAAATTAACCCATCTCCCTTAAAAATTTTGCATTTACTTATTTAATATTATAATACTATTTAGTGACTTACCAATACCTATGGAAATTACATGCATATAACATAATAGTAAAATTAAGTCTATAACACATCATATTTCAAATATTGATTTTATTTTGATTTTATTTATTTTAGAATAATAATGTTTTAGAAGTCTAAAGTATTGATTTATCATAATTAACTATTTTATAAATCAGAACTATTTTAGTATTGTTGAATTAAACCTGTAAAATGGCGTAGGGAGGTGGCGGTCCCATCGCCCCGTCATTGTACCGCAACCAGCCACTGGCCCTCCAGGTTGGGGGAACACTTACATGAACACACACACCAAGTACACTTTATACAGCACACTACAACACCTAAACACTACAGACAAAGGTCACCTACAGTACACACCCTAGGGTCACCTTCCCTAGGTAGCTGCCCCGGATGGGGGAGCTAGTCAGGATGCTCGGAGGAGGCATCCCCTCTACCTGACTCGGGGGCAGTGGGCTGATAACCCACCCCCCCTAAAGTACCTTATTACGAAACCTCAAAGAGAAGAAGCCGGACTGAATTACGGTAACAGATACGCTAAATGAAACGCCTAAATGACCTAAGAATTGGATTGTGGAACATTTTATCATTACATAGACTAGGAGCACTTCGTGCGCTCCTTGCAGAAGTGGACACATATAGAATCAACATAGCAGCTATCCAAGAGGTCCGATGGATAGGACAGGGAATTATGGAGAAGAAGTACCATACACTCTACTATAGCTGCCATGAAAAGCATCACATCTTCGGTACCGGATTTGTTGTGAGAGGCAGAGCTCGACAGCTGGTGATGCGATTTACTCCCATTAACCAAAGGTTATGCTACATTCGGCTTAGAGGAAAATTTTTTAATTTCTCTCTAATTAACTGCCATGCCCCAACAGAGGTGTCACCTGAGGCGGATAAGGAAACATTTTATGAAGAACTTGGCCGCGTGACAGAAAGCTGCCCCAAAAATGATGTTAAAATCATTCTTGGTGACTTTAACGCCCAAGTTGGTAAGGAGGTGGCACTCATGCCGACCATAGGAACCCACAGCTTGCATAAGACCAGTAATGATAATGGGCTACGGATGGTGAACTTTGCTACATTGCACGGACTGGTTGTTGGAACAACTCTTTTTCCTCGAAAGAATATCCACAAAGCAACATGGATCTCTCCAAATGGGCAAACAACATCACAGATAGACCATGTACTCATTAGTGCCCGTCACAAGTCCAACATGATAAATGCAAGATCTTATAGAGGTGCAAATATGGACACGGATCACTATTTGAGCATTGCCGAGGTCAGATCACGAATTTCGCTGATTAAAAACCACCACCAACGACCAAATAAGAAGATTGATGTAGCTAAACTTAAGGACTCAGACCACCAATATTCGTATCAACAAGCTGTGGAGACGAAACTTAATGAAGATGTAATTAATGACAGCTCTATGGTCGATGAACAGTGGAAGAGATGCAGCAACGCAATGAAACAGGCAGCAGAAGAATCTCTTGGCTACGAGACTAAATCTAGAAGGCCTCCATGGTTTGATGCTGAGTGCCTTCAAGCAGTAAAAGTGAAAAATGAAGCCTACAGAAAGAAGGTTCAGCGTCCCACAAGGCTCTCCCAAGAAACATATCGAAGAAAAAGACGCGAAGAGAAGAGATTATTCCGCGGAAAGAGAAGAGCTTGGGAAAACAAGAACATGGAGGATATAGAGGCATTGCGCGGCCAAAATGAAAGTCGGCTGTTTTTTCAGAGAATAAACGAGGGTAGGGCAGCTTTCAGGCCCAGAGTGACGGCATGCAAAGACACGAATGGATCTCTTTTAAGCCACAAAGATGACGTACTAAGGAGATGGGTACAGCATTTTAAAGACGCATTAAACAGAGGAACGGTGCCTGGAGAAGTAGGAGTAATGAAGGAAGACTCCCTGAATTCTATTGAACCCCCGGATGAGGAGGAAATGGAAAATGCCCTGATGAAATTGAAAAATGGAAAGGCGCCAGGCCCGGACGGAATCCAGTCAGAGCTGTTGAAATGTGGAGGTGAAGAACTTAAGAAAGCTCTGCATGATTTAATGCTGACCATCTGGGAGAGGGAAGCTATGCCTACGGAATGGGCAACAGCCATTATCTGCCCAATACATAAGAAAGGAGATCAAACAGAATGCGCTAACTATCGAGGAATCTCACTCCTTTCATGTGCTTATAAACTGCTCTCTAACATTCTTTTTGAGAGGATTCTCCTGTATTCTGAAAAGGAACTGGGGAAATATCAGGCTGGATTTCGAAGAGGATGCTCAACCACTGATCAACTGTTCTCTCTGAGGATGATCCTAGAAAAGACTATGGAGCATAAGGTAGTCACCCACCATTTATTCCTAGACTTTAAAGCAGCATACGACAGCGTTGATAGAACGCAACTATACTGTGCCTTGGAGGAGCTAAGCATCCCTCAGAAGCTCGTACGCCTAATCAAGATGACCATGGACAGCTCGAGATGTAGAATACGCGTCGGTTCTGACGACTCCGAAGAGTTTAAAGTGAGCAGTGGGGTTAGGCAAGGGGATGCCCTCGCCTGTCTATTGTTCAACTTGGCAGAGGAGAAAGCTGTAAGAGACTCCGGTATTCAGACCAACGATATAATCTTCAATCGCCTGACACAGCTTCTTGGTTTTGCTGATGATATTGACATAATAGGTAGGTCTGAACAGGCTCTCAGAGAAGCGTTTATAGGCCTTGAAGCAGCTGCAAGACCACTTGGTCTAGAAGTCAACGAGAGGAAAACTAAGTATATGAGAGTTGGTGGTGAGGTGGATCTGAACTCTCCATTTGAGGTAGGTTCTTTTAAGTTTGAGAGAGTGAAAAGTTTTATATACCTTGGGTCTGAAATTAATAGCAAAAATGACATGGCTCAAGAAATACAAAGAAGGATCACGGCTGCCAATAGATGTGTCTATGGACTTGGCCGACACTTAAGAAGTAGGTACCTCTCAAAGAAGACCAAGCTGATCATATACAAGACTCTTGTTCGGCCTGTTTTGATATATGGCTCAGAGGCTTGGACGATGACCAAAAACGATGAGATGAAGCTGAGTGTGTTTGAGCGAGGAGTCCTCAGAAGGATTTATGGTCCAGTAAAGGAGGGTGATGTCTGGAGGAAAAGAAAAAATAGGGAGCTCAGTTCTCTCTATGCAGACATCGACGTAGTCACCTATATTAAACTGGCCAGATTAAGGTGGGCAGGGCATGTGGCCAGAATGAGCACCGTTGAGATACCCAAGAAAATAATGATGGAGGAGCTGCACCTCGCAAGACGGGTAGGAAGGCCGAGGACGAGGTGGTTGGACAACGTGGCCTATGATGCGAGAACCCTGCTTGGTGTACGGAACTGGAGAGCTGCAGCAGAAGACAGAGCCAACTGGCGGAGGCTCTTGGAGGAGGCCCAGTCTCGGTAACGGGATGTCGTGCCACACATGAATGAATGAATTAAACCTGTGGAAAATCAGTGAGGAGAAAATACTATTTAATAATATGAACGTCTACTCTGTTTGTAGAAAATAAGTGATAAAATATACATGCACATATTCCACAGTTATGAAAATATTGATTACTTTTTGAATATGATCCAAATCCACTAAGAATACATTCAGTTGCAATAAATTCTTTTCCTTCCTCTGGTGTACAAATTACATCAACCATTGCATTTAGCAACATTGGTTGATCCAGTATTATTATTGCAATATCGTTTGTGAAATTTTTCTCATCATAGCCAGAATGATAAACCAATTTATGGGGTCTTCTTAATTGAGATGATTGTGGTTTATTTGTTACACCAGGAGCATAATATCCTGCTCTAATAAACAGATTGCTTATACTTCTTTCCCTACTATAACAAAAAAATTCTTTATTTAGTGGAATCAAGAATTATATGTTTACTTAGAAATAGCAGGTGTTCTTTTTGATTTTAACGCATTAATTTTGGATAATATATGCCTCTTTCATACACATGGAGAATATATCTGATGAATAAATAACATTTAAACTTTAAATAATAGAACATTTTAATATTGTTATGACATTGTACTTACCTCAAGCAATGGGCAGCAGTGAGAACAACTTTGGGGTAAATCAATGTTCCACTACATCTTAAATTCAAATTTTTATCTAAAATTGCAACGACCCATGGTACTTCACCATAAAATAGAGTTTCTGAAAATATGATTTTTATATTAATATTACTAATTTTTTCTTAATTCTTTTTTCTAAGCACTACAGAAAAGCCCTGTTTCATAAAATAGTTTGTACAATTTGTATATAGCTTGAACTTTTAAAACTTACTAGATGAAGGTTTCTCATCTTTAGTAATGTTCATTTGAGTTGAAAACCGCTTTCTGCCACAGCCTTCCCCTGGAGAGGCCTTAGGTTCTTGTATGCCATCTTGGAGATACTTGGAATCAGTCACAGAAGGTTCTTCAGTAGAAACATTGCAGCATGTCACCTTTTCTTCTGGGCACTGAGGGCTAATAATATTAGATTGGTTTATGTTTATTATTAGAAGTGAATAATGATTGTTGTGTCTGTTGATTGAAGAAATACAATTTATCAAATGTAGGTTAGAATGAAGAAATGAAAATCATAATGTTTATTTGTTGGATTGATACCGATGTAGATGGTCCCATATCAATTTCATCAAATTCCAGCATAAAGAAGTGGCCGGAAGAGGCAGTATGGATGCCAGCATATGACAAGGCATTAAAAGATGCCAGCAGGCCAAAACACACCATTCAACTTAGGTGACACAGAAGCCAGTCTCTCGACGGAAGCATTCAACAGCCAGAATCTACATATACCCAGTCAGCCCATATTAATCAATAGTTACTAACTCAATAATCTAAATGTACATCTTGGTGCCCCCCATCAACCTCTGTTTATTCAAATCTATTCTTTTTATGTATCAATATATATTTTTATGTTAATATCATTTTCTCATTTCACATTCCGCATAACCATCCTCTTCTGACCTAGTAATTAGCATCCAGGTTTGATTTCCCCTACTTCGGGATTAGGGAAGGCTTGATGCTCCAAACAGTATTTATACAAATATAAGAAATGGTGAGAAACAGGGGTGGTTGTGGGGATGGTGAAAATGGGGTTCATTGAGCAAATTGCACTATACATTTTTTCTAGGGGACATATTTTTATGGGCTTTATAAAAGAAGCAAATATTTGGAGGAACTTTAAAATCAGAAAACGAGGTGAAAGAGAGGAAAAGCATGGAACAGACACAAGTGTAGTTATATATGATCCACAAGTTATCCAATTCTGGAGGGTTGGAGTGGCGGAATGGGTTAACACATTTGCAATACACGCGTTGCCTAGCAATCTGATAACCTGAAGATTATGAGTCCCGGTGATGACGGAATTTAACGCTAACATAAATCCTTCGTCCTCTCCCCTGACCCAGGACCAAGGTTTCCCCCCTGTTATGGCCGAAAAGAAAAGAAAACTTTTTCCAATTCTATTTTTGATTGAATTGTTTTTAACAGGAGATCAATAAAATTTCTTTGAAGGGAGGAGTACGCCATTAACTTCGTAGGGGAGGGAGGATGGACTCCCCTGATGAGAAAGCTAAATGACCCTACTTGCCAAACGTGTTTTGAAATACCATTGAATAAAACTAGGCTTACTCAAAGACTTTTCATGCATCATTTTTTTAAAACATAATTGCTTATCATTCGAATTTATGAAAAAATAAAAATATAAAAAAAACTTAAAAAAACAAGTTGTCGTAGGTAATGTAGAACAGTAGCTCTAGCCTCCTACTTTTAACTATTTTTAATTATCAGTTTCCCAGGAGCGACTTCTAGTTTATGACTCTTTTCCTCAATCTCATTTTGTTCCACGTGAGAGGCCTTTGGTTCGGAGCTCGCGGAACGATACCAGACTCAACAAGGAGCTTCATGGAGAGCCTTGGTGTCGACATAAAGGACGTGGCAAGGTTGGCAGAGAACATAATCCTTGACTCCCTGGGAATTATCCATCACCATGTGCATGGGAGCGGATAGGGGGAGGGTTTGCTCGCGGGGGGGAGGCATGCGTGTGTTACAGCATTTTTTATATTATTATTTATTGAACACGTCCACTGTACTTTATGAATTTTTTATGTATTAGGTTAGAAAGAGAGAGGAGAGAATGTGAGTGGGAACATGTATAGGGGGAGAGAAGGAAGAGAAAGGGTACAGAATGATAATAAATGAATGAAAGAAATAGTAAAAATTATAAAAAAAAAAAAGGAAAAAAAAAAATAATATATATATATATATACGTATAAAATATTGTATACTATGCTCATACATATTGTTAATCCTATAATTGTATAATAATTTTAAATAATGTCTGTAGTGATTAATAAGTATGCTGTGTTGTTAGCAACCCAATGTAATTGGGCAGCACCATTTTATTTTATTTTATGATAATAAAGTGATTCTCTCTTGGGATCGGAGGGGAAGGGGGAAAAAGAGGGAGGGAAGTATTTGTAATACATTATTAGTATTTAAAATTAATGTATTATTAATTTATAATGCATTATTAGTAATTAAAATTAGAATTTAAATAAAATCAGAGTGAATGTTGGTAATCTAAAGAAATGAACTAATGAACTAATAATGCTTTGCAAAACTAATGGGTTTGTAGAATATATGATATTTAATTAACAACCTATATCAATAATCTTCAAGTCTAAAAGAGAATTTGAATTTGAATATATTTATATTTAAATAAACTTAAATATGCGATTTCGAATTAAGAATACGTTTTATGTATTTTAATCTATCTCTTTTGATATATGACTTTTAATATTTCATTTCTCGTGGCATATTCTGCACAATCTATCTATACATCGAACAATTTCTATATCGAATTTTATTAGATTTTTTTCAAGGAACTTCCGTTTCGATATAAAGTTTGGACTGTTAATGTTTTCTCTTAGTCCCTGATACTGAGCTACTAAACCACTGAAGGAAATACATTACCTCTCCTCTGTGGAATTTTTACTGACAGTACCGTTCCTTGTGGTACAGTTGTTGTAGTCAATACAGAAGCAATGTTGAACCGACGAAACAAAACAACAAAACCCAACAAGGGCAAACGTGATTTCCCTTACGAACAACATGATGCCGACTGACTCGTTGGACTGGATTCTACAAGAGCCAATTTCAAGGTATTTGACGTCAGAGAGTTACGATCGAAAGCCTCCATAGATTGAGGAAAAGAGATTTTAATATTTTAAGGCTTCTGAATAAACCAAGGTTGATCCTTGTTGAGGCTCTAGGCATATTAGCAAAAAAATGGAGGCTCAGAAACAAGTTTTGCTATTGTTTTGATTTTCTCCTCCTATATGTTTTTTGGGTCGCTGAACAGGAATTTGAAGTTTTCTGGCAAAAATATTAGCCGGAACTTTGTATTTTTGACACCTTTTGACCAAATTTTGGCACTTTTTTTCAGTTTTCGTTCTATATATCAAAAAGGAAGCGATTTTTCGACAAACCCATTCTGCACAAAATGAAAATAGACAAAACTGCATATATTTCTTAAACAAAACGTTTTTTTGTAAGACAAACCGTTTCGCCGCTAGGGTGCGCCCGAAAGGGGCCATATTTTCATATCCGGTGAAATTTATCGATTGCGCGGAAATTTCCCTTGCTGTGATTCTTAACTATTTAACAATTTATTTCATTGTAAAATTTATATGATATGATATAAAAATACATTTTTCATAAATAAAGTTGTTATTTTTTTCAAGATTACCTGAGCGGGCCCAAAAGGGTCCATATTTCCCTATTTGTGAAATTTCTGATATGGAAAAAAAGTTTTGATCGCTCCACTAATTTATTGTGGCAATTTTCTTTATACAAATGGCGAAGCGCTTTCAGTCCTTTAATTAATTCCAATCCTTTAATTTATTACATTATACAATTTGTATGATAAAAAAGCTTTTCTCGAGATTTACTAGTGTAAATAATTAATAATACAATATGTAACTTGATCTTGACATATTTCATGATATTTAAGGTAAATAAATTTAAACAGGTAAATTGGAAAGACGTATGAACTAAGAAAAGATGTATGTGTTTCTTTGGATTTTATTCGGATTAAGTTAGGTTTCCCCTATCTCAATAGTAATAACTTGATGGGTAACTGCAAGACTTTGCGTGACTCTTGTGCAAGACCAGGACTCATCTTGATCTCGCATTTGGGCAACACTATTTATGGCCAAAGTTTGAAATCGATTATTACTGTTCCACAAAATAATATAATAATTATTATATTTGATTTTTAATCTAAAACTCCCCCTGATTTATAAATAAAAATTTAAATCGATCTTTGATATTTCTCGATACTATTGAAAATAATAATTACTCACTTGGTCAAGACCCAACCAGGAAATATACAGGGAGATAAAATACCTAGAAACCGAAATAAGAATGAGAAGACTAAGATTCTACGGTCAAAATGATAAGAATGGACCAAGGGAGACTAAACAAGAAAGTCTGACAAAAAACCGTTTGCAAGACCGTAAGAGGATATGTCAAACAAACGAGAGAGGAAACAGAAAAAAAATGAAAATAACAGCCAAAGACTGATTGGATAGGGAGCAGTGCGGAAAAAAAAATCACAGAAATCTAGGTTCTAGTGGAAAATAGTGGTCGAAAGAGATGAAGCAAAGGCACGTAGAAATGACGAGAAGATACAAGGAGAAGAGGAAAGCGAAAATGAGAAAGGTAAAGTAATGGTATTCGCGTTGTCTTAAAAGGCCGTTTCATGAAAAAAATATATAAATAAAATAACCACTCACTTCGATTTGATAAACAAAACACAAAAATGCCGCGGCACAGTGATTGAGAATCGCTGGGTTAGACTGCCAAAGAAAAACGTTATTTATGAGAAATGCACTGTCACATAATATAAATTGTATAATGCAATAAATTGTTGCAGTTAAGTATCACAGCAAGAGCGATTTCTCTGTAAACGGTGAATTTCACTAGTTATGGAAATATGCCCCTTTTTGGGTGCCCTCTAGCAGCGAAACGGTTTGTCATACAAAATACGTTTTGTCTAAGAAATTTAAGCAGTTTTATCTACTTCAATTTTACGCAGATAAGGTTTGTCGAAAAACCGCTTCCTTTTTGATATATAGGCCTAAAACTGAAAAAAGTTCCAAAATTCGGTCAAAAAGTGCCCAAAAAACATTTTTGCCAGCGAACTTTTCAAATTTTTGTTCACCCAAAAAATATAAAGGGTGAGAAAATCAAAACTAAAGCAAAACTTGTTTCTGAAAATCCTAATATCCCTAGCCTATTGGCTCTAGAAGTGCAATAATAGGCTAGGAATAGTTTTAAATTAACTAGTCCAGTCATTAACTTTAGTTAAAGTTTTTATACTGAAATCTACACACCTCCCAGAACTGAGTGAGGTTCCAAGAAAGCATGAATAATTATGCCCTGATTATTTCCATTAATAAATTATTTAATTATTTCCATAATAATTATCCAAACATTTCTTATACAAAGAATCCCAGTGAAAAGACCTGGAATGACTACTATAGAGGAAATAATTTGAACTCCTCATTATTTGGTAAGAACTCGATTAAATTTACGACAGAAATACTTGAAAGAAATGACTTTAAAGTCAGAAGTTTCTAAATAAATTCTAATTTAAAAAAAGTTCATTAAAGTAAACAAGTAGGTTGTCTTTGATAAGTTGATTGACAACGATAGTACTAGTAATTAAGTAAATTACATTAAGAATATTATTTGTTTTAATTAAATTCAGAAATGTGCCCAACCGCATTTGGAGAAAGTGAAGTTTAAATTCATCACTTTCTCCAAATGATTATTATTATTAGTATTACTGATTATTACTGAAGCAAAGATATAACCGGGAAAGGAAAATATTTTTATTTAAAGTAAATGGTAGTTAGTTAAGTAGGAAGTATCTCCTACTTCCAGCTAATAGAAAGAGAAAAAGTAATAAATTTTTTCTCTAATAAACCTCAACTTAATCAATATGAAATTAAAGCTTGTTAAAGAAGGAAGTTTTTCTAAAAGTAGGATATCTGTAGTATAGTTGGAGGATGTTAAAAAAAAATCGCAAATAATTCAAGATTTTTTATAAAAACAGAACTTATTGTTAGCTTAGTTTAGCCACGAAAAAGCCCACTTTAAATAGTTTTACTAATGACAAACTCCACTTTCACTAGAAGTAAATTTGTGCAACATTACATGTAAACTGTCTAGTTTACTGTGAAACAATTGATAATTACTTAAATTAAGTATTTTTTTGCCTAATTAACAAAAACGCGATATATTTAAAAAGAAACAAAAAAATTTAATTTCCTACTTTTCTGCCGAAAATCGGACCAATGTTTATATAAACTTTTTTGCAGATCTTGAGGTCTATTATCACTACTATAAATATTTCTTTCTACTTACGGGACAACCTTTATATATATAAAAATAAATTTATATGTATATAATTTTTTCCCCCATATGGGTATATTAGAAAATATCGTAATAAAGCAATTGAATATTTGAGGCAGTGAGATAAACTCCCGATTCTCTGATGCTTCAATTTTGTCGCGTGAAATGTGACATAATCTTTATGTAAAAATGGAAGGATGCACATGAGTGAATAATAAAATCTTAGTATATATTGCTACATACAATTATCTTCGAATATATACTAAAATTTCAATAATGGAAACATATTTTCTGAATTGATTTTAGTTTATATATTTTATTCATTCATGTAGATTCATTGTTATTGATTTTGATTTTATTTTTAGTTGTTAGAAATATTTAGGAGGACAAAACGATATTCTCTCCCTCTCTCTATTTATATTTGGGAGAGGGCAATAGCCCCCTTCATCCTCTTGAATTCTGCTTCTATGCTGATGATGCCTAAATAATATTTTAAGAATGCTTCTTGTCTGTTTTAGGTCTCATTAATGACACAATAACCACCTTCTGAATCACTTAAAATAAAAGTTTATCATATAAAGTTTTTATACAGGGGTTTCACCCTGACATTTTTTTTAATATATATAAAACGATAATTACTTTGGAAGAAAGAGAAAAAAACTGCATGAAATGGTGTATTAGTGATTCTTGAAGTCCTATTAAATGTAATTACATGAGTAATAATACTTTTAGAGATAATTTTTAAATATTTTTTTCATAAGTCATGGTTATATTTTACCATTTTGGAGGGCTTCAGCCCAAAAGACTATTACCTTGTAGTTTTACCTGTGGCATATATAAAACTTTACAATGATCTTCCTGAAAATAAAGAACTTGAATCTTCGAATTGGAGTCAGGGCGAGAAGGGAGATCCAAGTGTGAAATCCATTACAGAAAAGGTGAGCAAATTAAAATTAGATAATAATACTTCTAAAAAAAAAGAAGAAAATCAAAAAGGTTGCTAAAGCTCTCCTGTCCAGTTGAAATGATAAATATGAACCTGAAGATTAAGGGAAGGAAGAGAAATAAGTGAGAGAAAAACCAGTTGTAACAGCAAAACCAACCCGAAAGATTATATACAAAGAAAGGAAGAAATGAAATAAAAAGAAAATTTGTGGACAAGGAAAAATGAAAAAGTTCCGCTTTGTCAAAGATGTAGTTGAGAAGGGAGAAATCAAAATTGTCTAAAAAGAGACAGAAGACCAGATCAGAAGACATTTTAACTAAGGATGTGACTAAAGAGGTGATGGAGAGACACTCAATGAATTTAGGTGTTCCTGTGCTGATGCTTTAAGAAAGAAAGAAATAATAAATGAAAGTTTAGGAGGGAAATTGTTGTGGGAAATAATTTTATTATTTAGTAATTGTATAAATGGGATATGTATTGTAATTATGTAAATAATTCATGAAACATAAATAAATATAACAATAAAGATGGTTCAGGTCAATAAGAAGCATAGCTTTTCTGTCTAAGGAAAGGTGTGATGTCTGTAAACTGAAGGAGTCAGGCTAATAGACAAATAGGGTTGAGATTTTTCCAAAAGGACATATCAATGAAAATATGAAAAAATAAAATATTTCTTCTTAATCTTCTATCTTAAATTTAAAGCACTTGCTTTGATAACAATTTGTGCCAATTTCTATTTCTTTTCTAAAGAAATTGTATGTTTTTGTCAACGTAATAACTCTAATTAAATAATAATCTTGAGAGGTCTCCTACTTACAACAAACTATCCTAAAATGGTGTAAACAAAGGATTTTAAAGAAATAAGCATTTTTAAAATTTAATACATTTTAATAAGTTAAATTATACCATTAAAAAAACCTTGTCTATATTAAAATTGTAAGTTCAACTTGTATATAGTTTTATAAGTTCCAATAATCGAAGGTGACTAGATTATAAAATATAATATTATAAAATCCATATGTTTTTACTTATTATAAATGCACTAGCATAATGTCAAAAGTTAAGAAAATATGTATCAAATATTTACTTAATAGGATATATTTATTTAACTTAAATATCAATAAATCTTATCATCAATCATATGCTCAATTATTATCAAAATATAGTATTAATTTATCATATTTAGTTCTTTAGAGAAACATTTCTTGAGTATTTTTCATACAGGTCACTGAATTTTTTTTTAAAGAATTAATATTATATTTATTTGTTTGCCATTTCTAGCTATTTATTTCAATCTATAAATTTTAATCTCTATTGTATATTTACTTATTTCTTATCATTACAAAAAAAGTATTATTCATCTTATGATAACTGTTTTTGCACCCAAGGAAGGTAATGTTCTACTGATGTTAAAACTGTAGGAAATCCTTCCCCACATCCGATGCCCCACGCAACTATTCCTATCTGAACCATTTTGTTTGGATCAGATTTAGATGGGCAGTACAATGGTCCACCACCATCACCCTACAAAATAAAATATTAAAATAACATTAGAACAATTTAGTATTGACAAATATTAATAGCATGGAAAAATATCTGAAATAAGCACTTATATCCATATGTTATCTAAACAAAATTACAAAAGATTAAAAATTGATAGTAAATATAAAACAAAAAATGTAAATTTATTCCACTGTCTCAATGGGAATTCAAAAACTAAATAAAAATATACTTTAGAACACCAGTTTGGAAAGGTTCTGTCAAGTTTTATTAAGATAGATATTTAAGAATCAAATGATTTATTGAGACAATTTTATTTTTGGTCATACTCAGCAGTAAATATAAGTTTTCAAGTCCTTCTAATTGCCAGAAATGAAAAGACAAAATGGCTGTCAAGCATACTCAACCTCTACAAAAATTAAAATGTCTCAACAGCACTAAATATAAAGTCTCAAGTCTGTCCATAGTAGGAAACGAAAAGGGGGCATAAGAAAAAATGAAATGGCTGTCGGGCACATTCAGCTTCTACAAAGATTAAAATGTTTTTTCTAGCAGCAGGAAATATAAAGCCTCAAGTCTATCTGATTGTAGGAATCGAAACAAAGGCATAAGAAAAAAACAAAATGAAGGTCGGGGACACTCAGACTCTATAAAGCTAGAAGTGTCTCAAATAGCATTAAATATAAAGCCTCAAAACTGTCTCATACATTAAATTAGTTATGTTCCACAGCTTCATCCATTTTAAATTTGGGTTATACATGCTTGTTGCATAGCTTATCAAATTTTCCTTATTATGAGATTATCAGAAAATATAGAAGTTTTTAATTATTTATAGGTATCAACAATGTTTTTATTTACAACTTTGAATGTATAGTAAGCATATTAACAGGTTTCCTTTCATCTATCTCTAAAGTTCAAATTTATTAAATATAGCCAGAAGATATAAATAAATGAGCTTTTATGTTAGAAAAATATAGATTTTAAATTAAAATAACAAATAAGAAAAAAAAAAAAAATAGGCAATGTGAATTCTGTTAGCATGAAAAAAAAATCTATGATTTGATTATTATTGAACATTCTTTGTATGGTTACATACCTTGCAAGTGTCTCTTTTGTCATCCCCTCCAGCGCATATGAATCCTTCATGAAGTATGAATCTCACTCCTAATCTAGAAGTTCTCAGCTTTTCAAGACAGCTTTCTCGAGTTTTAAGAGGAAGGTTTACTTTGCTAAGAACAGCTTGGTAGGAACCATCTGTTTAGAAAATTTAAAAAAATAAACATTAGACTGATGAGGTTCTGCTAAAGATTAAAGTAATCTTCACATTGCCAAAATAGAAACTAATATTGACACTGAGGGGCAAAAAAACTGTCGTGTGTATTTAATAATATCTTATAATTTAATAATTTAAAGTAGAATAATATCAAAGAGAAATGGGTAAGATAAATGTTACATGGGTAGTATCCTCTAAATTCGAGGCTCAGAACTGCAAACAGTTCATTAAACTAAAAATAATTTTAAATAATTTATTACATATTGCTTAATTTTTCTGAATTTTCAAATCTATGATAAAGCTTTATGAGTGTTTACTTATAAGTAATGAGATATGATTTATTTGAAAGTGAATATATTATAATATAAATGTAGTATATATAGACACACATACGCCCGCACACACACGCACACATATACGTACTCACTCATATATAGTTAACTGTTATTTACTTTGGGCATTACGTCCCCATCCAGTTACCACACAGTCAGATCCAATGACAGCTTCTCCTTTTTGTGGACCACAAATGACATCAACTACTGGATTTAGCTGCATGGGTTGTTCAAGAAATATAAGAGCAATATCATTATGAAGATTGCCAGAATTGAAGTCTGGATGGGATTCCACTTTACGAACCCTTTGTGTTTGAGATGGGATTGGCTTGTTTGTGATTCTGTTATCATACTCTCCTGCTCTCACAGAAATTTCTTCAATTGGTGTATTCCTGTTAAATTAAAAAAATATCTCAAATTAAATTGTTTCCGCTATGAACTATATTTTACATCTACTTATCTGAATGGTTTCAAAGTTATACACTTTAAATATATTAATTTTAAAAGAATTTTTTTTAGAATAATCTTGCATTATACAAAGTGTATCAAATCTAGAAAACTTTGGGAATCAAATCTATATCTGTCATCACAAAAAAATATATACCGGTGTCTCATTTCTTAGTGGCCAAACTGTGGGAGGTGATTCTCAGGGCTGCCCAGAAGGGGGTTTTATGGCAAAAGTTGCGTTGTCAAACTTTTTAAGGGGAGCATATTTTGATGGGTTTTTGAATTTTTGAGGGGGACAATGAATTTTCGAAATAAACAGTTTCAACTGTTTCAAGTCTGTTCAAAACGTGGAACAGACCGCATCAACGTATGATCTACGATTTTTCTAATTCTACTTTCTCTTGCTTTGCTTTCTATGAAAAGGTGAGTAATAAATATCTTGGGGGAGGAAGAGGTTAGGTTCTTGCTCCATAGACCCCATAGGGAAAGAGAATGGGCAGCTCTTGTGATTCTAAAGAATACTTCCAACAAAAAATTTAATTTGATGTATGGTCCAATTTCGAATGGATAAGCAGCTAAGCCTACTTTTTGTTTCCCTAAGGTTGTCACTTTTTCTATCTTATAGGAAGCGAGAATACAAAAATCATTTCATTAGAGTAATTACAAATTGTTTCATTGTAAACTAGACATAATTTTCTTCAAATATAAGCAGGGGTGTCCATTCTTCCCAAGGTTGATGGTGAATCAACTTCCCCCTTCGTCTCAAGATATTTTATTGCTTTCTTCTTCTAAATAACAGTGCAAGCTAAAGTAGAATTTTAAAAATCATAGGTCACATACAATCACACTCTCAGTGATCTATTCTTTTTCCTGCTCCTTGACAAAAAAATCCTCAAATAAATTGATATGCAATTAAAGCTTATTAAACAAGAAAGCTTTTATAAAACTGGGATATCTGTAGGATGACAAAAAATGTCACAAATAATCCATGATTTTATGAATAACACAACTTGACAAAGACAAACTCTACATGTATATGAAGGAAATTCTGTCTAGTTTAATATGAAAACATTGAAACAAAATGATTTTTGTGTTATCACTTCCAATGAGACAGAAAACGTGACCACCTTGAGAAAAGATAAAATTGGGCTTAACTACTCCATATTGAACTGTCGATGAGAACTCCCAAGCTGTAATGATGTTATATAAGACGTTTTCTTGACTGTCATATTTTGTAAAATGGTACATGTGTCTAGATCAACAGATCAGCTGATGAAATGGGATTCTTGCTGGGTAACATGAAGAGAGGATACAGGGACAGAATGGTGTGCCCACAAGCTGCAGCAAGAGCTAGGTTAGAAGTACCCAACAAAGAGTACTTATCATCGTAAAACAACACTGCGGCATCTCCACAACAAGTGCAGGAAATTCTACTACTACCACCATAGTTAGGATACTTCCTGCCACCATACTTCTAAGCAAAGACCAAGACTCCTGTTTCTGTTTCGAAATTCTGTTCGAACATTTATAAGCTGGGATAGTGTGGATTAGCACAATTCGCAAATTAGACTGGAAGCAAACTTGCACGAATTCAATATTACTACATAGCTGTATATGAGAAGGACTGGCTGATTAATTGTATTATAATAGTTTTAGACTGCCATGGTTGTAGGAACAGACACGGTTCAGACACAAAAAAGAGCGTTATACATCCAGTAAAACAATTTTTAAAGCTCTAGTTAAAATAAAAATCATCACATTTTATGAAAGTTCATTTTGAAAGAGATAAAAAGGATTTTAATGCAATACTAAAGGAGAATAAAAAAAAAAAATATTTCATGAGGGGTGTGGTAGCTCAGTGAATAAGTCACTGTTTTTCCACACTGGAGCTTCTAGGCTCCATGTTTTAAGTTCGTGTTCAGCTAAGGAAGTTGATATGATTTTGTAAGATAACTACAAACAGTTATAGATTTTCATCTAATGAAGGAGAAAATTGTTTTGAGGTTTTGTAAATATCAAAAATTCAAACAACCATCACTCACATTAGAAGTTATCAATATTTGAATTATTTTTTAATAAACATTTATGCGTTTTGAAGAATATAATATTTATATCTGCCGGTAGTTATATTATTATAATATAATTAATGTGTACAATAAATAACGTAATGACTAAATAGTAAATAATGAACAAGCTGTGAAATGGAATATGCATGGATTTTACAAGAAAGTTGGGATCTTCCATGGGAGATTGGAAATGTTCCAAATTTGACTTCTTTATAATAGTTTTTATAAAATATTAGGCAAAAGGTCACCAAATGTACACAGATTTTACATCCTGTATTATTTATTCCATGTTTCGGCTTCAGGAGCCATTTTCAACATCCTGCAAACTAACTTTAATTCAGTTATTATACTTTTAAAAAAATGCCACCGAATCTAAAAGATATGATTTGAAAAAAAAAAAAAAAAGACTTAATGTTTGTTCCTATGCACGTTACATATTTATACTTAATGTACTCACTTCACACAGTGGGCTGCAGTCAAAACAACATTAGGTGTAATCAATGTACCACCACACTTGAAAGTCAAAGCTTCTTTTTTCTGTAGAATAACCACCATCCAAGGCGCTTCACCATAAAACGTCTGTTCTGAAAACAGTAAAGAAACTTGTATAAAAATAAATTATACTTTATAAAATTTATTTTAAGTTTTTTTGTTGTTAATTATACTAAAGTTTATTTATATGCAGTACAATGCATTGGGGTAGCTAACAAAATTTTTACGTGGAACACATCGGATATTTAGCAACCAATAAAGTATATAATTATAAAGATAACATTTAATTTTAATCGGAGTTTAATAACAATCATTACTTTACGAAAATAAAGTATCAGACTTGCAAAAGAATTATTAGTTTTAGTTTAGTTCAATATTTATACTGCTTAGTATCTTTCTTTGAAAATTTCAGAGGTGGAATGAGTAGTGATGCATGCGTCTTCCTACAACTAAACCTATTCTAAACAGAGTGAGAAGGTCGAGATTCATTCCATGGATCCGCAACGAAATAAATTTCAATCCCACCAAGGCCGGATTGGAACTGGCACAGTGATGCCAGCGTACGGTATTGTAAGAAAAACAGAAGTTAAAATTTGGAAGTTTGATTGTAATAAGAACCTAACTAATATCGTTTCCTCGTCATGTTCAACAATTTTTAATGTAATTTTCGCATTATTAATGCCTTGATATTAAGTAATAGTGGATGGAAGGAAAATCTTCTTCGCCTAAGGAAAATCGTGTTGAGCAGAATCAGGCATTTCTAATGAATCCCAAAACATTTGAAACATCGGTTTTTAAAAATATATAGGCTTCTAACAATTTGCTTTCATTTCGCAAATAGCTCCAAAACCTACATAGATCCTATTGTTAACAAACGTTTGAACTTCCAAAAACAATTTTCAGACCTTGTCTAATCTGTCAGAAGTTATTTAGGATTAAACACGCGGAACTTTGAACTTGGATGTGCCACCATTATGTTCTATTTATTTAATATGCGACCTGAATAGTTGGTCAAATCTACAACAAAAAATGAGAAGTTTGCGTTGAAACGTAAATGTGAAAGTGAGTTGATAATTAAGTTTATGAAAACCACTTTTAAAATAATAATAATAATAATATATGTGCATACTTGTAAATTATTTTAATTAATTGATAATTATTTTATAATTGTTGATTATAGTGCAACAGCAACGTAAAATGGATTATATGATATTGCAAATATAGTATTTAATTTTCATGATTAAAAATAATTAATGTATTATAATCATCTTTCAATGAATGCATCTTATTGTCCAAATGGCTTGAACACAAATTCACCTCCTTCAGAAACATAAACAAGAAAAGTTTGTCGAGTCTACTGCGGGGTAAGTTGATGTCCAAAGAATCTAAACTATCGCATCACTGTGCGGCGTCGTTTGACAAGAGATGCTAAAACGGGCAAAGCTTCAACTCACTTATCTATAACCATACTTAAATATCATCCCATGAACATCTCCACAAATGGTGGTGTGATCATTTCCCGTAATTGAAGAGATGGAGGTAAATTTTTCACGGTATGTAATAATCGTATGATTATCGTTGCGTGATCATCTTTGAACGATAATCGTGGCATTTGCTCAGGGGAAACATGCCTTTAGCAAAATGTTCAAACCAATCAATTTAGCTTTACCGACACAATGGGCCAGTGCAATTTTTCTATGAGTTTTTTATTTTTAGTTATTGGTATTTGTTTATTAAAATTTACACATTTATAAGAAAATATAATAAGTAAATAGTTAAATTAGAAAACATGATAATAGCTTTAAATTTCCCGTAGCCATCTTCCTTTCTAGGGTTTTAGAGGATTGTCCGGAGTAGTTTGGAGACAGGAGGAAGTTGGAATTGTAATTGAAAGTTAAATCTATTTTTGATGAAACCTGTACTATAAGCGGGAGGTTGATTATTACTATTATTAGATTTATTTACTAAATTTATTCGCGGTAAAATAATAATTTCAGAATACATCATATTTAAAAATATTTATTTATAATAATAGATAATCTGAATACAATGTTGTGAAACACAACTTCCTATTTTTCCTCTAAATGTGAAAGATGTAATTTAGAATTCTTCAACGCATTTTTTGTTTCTATTTGCGTGTTGCTGGTTTTAACTATTTTGATTGCCTCATACCTCCTTACTTGGGGACTCCCAAGGACGTCTTCGCCAGCTTAGCAGGTTAACCATATATTTGTTTTGCATGGATTTCACAAAGAAGCATATTGTTGGAATCACAATTGAATAGATAAATAGAGCGGATTATTTTTCAATATATTTACATAAAACCTTGAAATTTCGTTTCATCCCTCGAGTAGGTATTATTTGTATATATATAATTAAAAAAAAAATCAAAATTAAATTTTTTTTTCAATTAGTGCACTTTTGCTATTCCTACGAAAACAATTATGTAGCTGAAACAAATATTCCTAAGAAAATAATGATTATAAACTAATTTGTAGCACATTCTATCAGATTCGATTTGAGCCCTGTTAGAGATATTTAAGTTTGTGAGTTTTGGAGAAACAATTTTTCAAAATACAATATGATTCTTTAGAAAACGCGATAAATCACCATTTTGAGATTTTATAGTTACTATTTTTTTGTCGGTACGCCATAACTTCATCAAATTCAATAATTGACCACTCATTTTGAAGATATTCTTCTCCTTCGCATGAGAAAAATAGTTCTATATCCCCGAACTTTCTGGGAAAAAAAGTTATCAAGCAAAAGAAACTTTATTGGCAAATAACTCAAAAAGTATGCATTTTTTTTCTGGGTTGTACCCATGATGATTAGAAAGATTACTACCTTTAATTACCTTAAAAAAAAATATCGTAAAAATCTGACGATTATTAACAAAGACTTCCTCTTTTTCTTCCTATTTAAAGATATTGCATTTACTATTCCACTACACTTTTTTTCTGGCTGATATATTAACTTTATTATTTCTTAAAGGCATTTATTTGTTCTTACATTTTATTTTTTTTTTTAATAATTTAGAAAAATCCATGATCGGGGCTTTATTTTGTCTTCACCATCTTTCCAGTCAGCGTTTGAAAATAGGTCCTAGCAAAGCAATTTGTACAAATATTTTGGTCTATTATGTTAAATGAAATATGGTAAGCGACTAATATTAATTACTTCCTTACATAATACATAGGATCTACTTATTTCCATATTGTTTTACTATTTCTTCACTAAACAAAATTTTCTGCGGATTATTCTCACGGGCTAACTAGTTATTATAAACTACTCATTGGAGTAGCAGTTGCTATTGTATTTGCTAAAATAAATCCCAAAACGGTGATTTCTCTATTTTTTAAAAATTGTTTTATTCTGAAATGTCTATTATCCAAGTTATTTGACAGACACTCCGAATTATTTTTGACTAACAAACTTGCCATCTTCAAATTACTTACAAAAATGTTATGAACTTACTATAAGACACTCCCAACACTCCTGAAATCCCCGGATTTCAACCTTTTCAATCAAAAGTTTTAAGTAAAATAGAACTTTTTACGTGGCGAACGACTCGCTACACGAGAACTTGGATTGTCAAACGGTATCACAAATTGCAATACTATAAATACCAGTAACAAACTTACAACATGAACCCATTAGCCCAAATACTTATTTCCATCACGATCCCGTACATCTCACTCCTCTGACTTTTAAATCGAAGGAGGCCGAGAGATCTTTTAACTTAAATTTTATCCGGAAATGTTCTCAGATTCGTTTATAGCAAAACTTATCAGATGGCAAATTTCAAGCCTGCCAAATTTATCTATTTTATTAGATAATAAAAACCATGTACCACTACAGCCCATGAAGGGTCTTGGGTTCAGTACCATTTAGGGAAAATACTGTTTCAAGACCAGCGGTTGTACAGGGAGGGAATCGGATAAGGATCACGCTTAACCGACCAGGATTTCTCCCTTAATCAATTATTTAATTAAGGGTAGAGGCTGGGTGTGCACCCCAGGATCTGCGACCTTGGGCAATGGAAGCTTAGTGTCCTACCACTGAGCTACGCCGCTTTCTTAAATAATAATAATACTAATAAATAAATAATAATAAATGATTCCTAAAAACATGTTTAAGATATTATAAAATATTTTTTCAGTGCATGACTTGTTAAGTTACTTACGTGGAACATTTTTGTCTCCTCCGGTGACTTTGAGGCTGGTATCTAAGTTGGCAGGGAACCTCCTTCGCCCGCAACCGGTTCCGGGGGTGACGCTGGGTATCTGGAGGCCGTCCTGGTCAGGGTTCGGTACATCCGGGTTCACTACGGAAGGAGTGGTCTCTGGAATTGGTTGTGGTCTCGGAGGCCACGGTTGGGGTGGTTTCGGAGGCCTCGGTTCTGGATTCGGCTCTGGGGACGGAGGGCTTGGATCTGGTGGGTTGGGCAGGACGGTACTGTTGTCGGCTGCTAGTAAGCAGCACACCTGGACCCCAGGGCACAACTTGACTCTGAAAAAAGAATATATATGTATATATATAACATGTATCATAAACAGTTAAGTATATTAAACATTTTGATTATGTCAGAATTTTTTTTTTGCTAACTCTATTTTATAATGAAGACGTTTAAGGCTGGCTCTGTTGTGAAAAATATATAATAATAATAATAAAACTTTTTAAGTGATACCAGACTGATTAGCTGACAACATCAAAACACTTGATAATGTTTTGAAAAAAACTGGATTTGACTGGTTGCATACTTAACGCAATGATGCAAATATGTGTTTATGCAGACGATATATGCCTAATTATCAGGAATTTGAGGTTAATGAAAGCAGGAAGTGAAAATGATGGACTGGAAATTAATCGAAATAAGACAAAATACATGTATGTCGGGGCCGACAATGAGGCTGGTCCTCAGAGCATTGAAATATGCGGTCTTACCTTCGAGTGTGTCTAAAAATTCATAAAAAATAAAATTTCTGCTGAGGTGTACAAGAGGTTCATGGCTGAAAACCGGGGGTACTATGCCAACCAAAAATTTACGAACATCCCTTCTGTCACGAGAAACATAGATAAGACTATATAAGACTTTAATAAGACCTATTGTGACTTATGCAGCGGAAACATGGACATGGGGGGAGAGGAGAGGAGTGCACGGTTGGGAGTCTGGCCCACAGACCAATATTTTTGCCCGATTTTCAATAAGTTCTTCTTTAAATTTAGTATTGAAAGATTATGCAGAATCACACTGATCATTCGCAATAGAGATGGAAATAGTGATTTACTTATGAACTTGTTGAACTACGTATTTATACAGTTGAAATTTGTATTAGTACTATATTATCATTTTCTGAATGTTATTTGGGGGTCCAATGTTCATATAGCAACTAAAGATGGATTTCTATATCGTTTCGATATCGATATTAGTTTTGTATATTCCAGTAAACGAATAAACCAACTTTATAGTATGGTATAAAGGAATTATACTATAGTATAGTTAGCTGATTTGCCATACACAGCCTCCAAGTTTCAAATAAAACTTGTCTATCCTAAGTAGAAATCGAATAAACAGTGCCTCAGACATTCGGTACCCCCTCTCCTAAAAATATTTAATTTATTTCTTAAGCTGCTTTATATTTTTAGAAATAGAAATAGAAAATCATCTTTATTCTGGGACTAGGTCCCTTGAGAATAACAATATTGTTTAAACCAATTGACAATAAATCTGGCCAGATGACGTATTATAATAAAGAGTAACTACAATCTAAGTAATAAAATGAATATATATATATATATATATATATATATAGTATATATATATATATAGTTTTGGAGGGTATATTAAGGAAAGCGGATGGATACAACGGTTACAATATTATAATATTGGTACAAAATATAACACAAAATACAACGGTTACAATATTATAATATTGGTACAAAAAACAACAACATACTTATAACTAAATAAAATTGGAAAGAAATGCTAAATAAGTTTTATAGGTAACCAATTTTAGTGATACAATATAATAAAAAAAATAAATGAATAAAAATACAAGAAAATAACTAGAGTAAATAAATGATTTATATATGTTCCTTAAGACGTTTAAGTGAAAACATGTGAAGGTATTGTAAAAAAGTAGACAAGTATTGTGATCTACCTATGACGCAATAGATTACACACATACACACACACACACACACACACACACACACACACATATATATATATATATATATATATACACATATCCAAATAGAGAGGAGGGTGCAGAAGATAAGGAAAAAAAACAACTTTTAAATAAAATAAAATACACTTAAAAAAAAATACACTCTTATGAATAGAAAATATAAAAGGTAACAAAAACAATAAAAACTTATACCTATTCACACTGCTTTGTAAGAGGTGATCAAAATTCTGTTTCATATTTCAAACAGAAGAAAAAAAAAAATGTATAAAGAAAGTTAAAACCTTGTTGCATAATATATACTTAGCCAGCATCTGATGGAATTGTGAAGAGGAATTGGAATAAGAGGGTTTTAAATGTGGATAAGGATGGTGCATGGCGGATTTTTAATGGCATGGAATTCCAGAATGCGGTGGAACGGATAACAAAGGAATGTTTAAATGATGCGGATTTGTGTAAAGGAGTGTAAAGGTCAGAAGGACGTGATCTTGTGGAGAGGGTGTGGATTGAGGATTTAAATTATAGGAGATGGTATGCGTAGGACGGACGATGATAATTGATTATTTGGTAAAGGAATGTGCCCAGGAAATATTGCCTTCGGAAGGAAGAGAAGAGCCACCCTAAATCAGCATATTGGTGAGAAACACGGGAACGTTTCGGGGTTCCAGTATATTATGTAATACTTGGAATTTTATTGAATTATAATACAGTTGTTTTATTGATATATTACAATTAATTATTCTAATACGTTTTGTAACTATTTTTTATTTGTTACAAGTGACAAGCGCCCCGATCAGGCGCACAGGGACAATTGCCCCGATTGCTCCATCCTAAGGCCGGTACTGAGGATAAATATACATATATTTATTTATTTATACATAGATTTCTACTAAATAGTGAATATATAAATACACAAATACGTTTTTAGATAATAAACCTAAACACATATTGAACACATAATAATTATCCATAAATAAGACAATATACGAAAATAATCTGGATCGCGCAACACACAACTTTCACTTACTGCTCTACTTTGTTTAGAAATTATTTTCTGGCAATTTTGGGCTATTATAAAATTTTTGAAGTGAATTTTATTCGGAGCTAAAGCTTAAAGTTTACACACAACAAATCATTAAGACCATTAAAATAACTAAAACCCTATTTATAATATTGACGGTAAGCAATAAAAACCTAGTTCCTCTATCTGTTTTTTACTTTCCTATCTATACTAGGTAAGGAAAGTATTGCAATCGGGTCAAATTTCTGATATACGGTTTTCGACGGATCTATACGTTTCAGAGCCCGTTGAGTCCGAAAAACATATTCTTAGCCATTGGTCTGTCTGTGCCAAGATTTTCTCGGGAACTACTCAACCGATTTTGTTGCTTCTTTCTTTAATTTATAGAGTTCTGACTAGTGATGCCTGTGACAGAAGTCCGTTGCTCAATGCGCAATAGCTTGGGCGCAATAAATGAAAAACATGTTTTACTATAGACTGTGATTTTGATGGAACTTTCTTATAATGTTCTAATCATTATCCTTTCAATTTTCGTATTAAGACTAAATTCACGAAAAAAAAATCAGGAAAAAAGTTATGAAGAATAGAAAAATGTTATGGGACCTAACTCCCTAAGTATATATTATACAGTAAAATTTATAATATAACTTTTGAAAGGCAATTAAATTACCAAAAAAAAAAAAAAAAATCATCGGAATCGAACCAGTATTAGCGATGATACAGCTTATTCTATTTTTTTACACATTTTTTAACCTGTTACTTTCCTACCTATACTAGGTAAGGAAAGTATTGCAATCGGACCAAATTTCCGATATGCGATTTTCGAAGGATCTATAAGTTTCTGAACTCCCTGAGTTCGAAAAATACATTTAGCCTGTCGTTTGAAATTCCGCGACAGAATGAAATTCCCTACAAAGCCATATAAAAATCGTTCATTTTGGACAACTATTAACGAAGTTACAGCTATTCAATTTCCAATGTAAGATTACGGGTTCATATCCTGGTGTCAGAACGGGGTGAATGAGAGAAAAAAGATGACTAAGTGAAAGTAAGAAAATCTGTTGTCCGCTTCACACAAGCTTCACTATTTCCTCTACTTTTGACAGAAGTTATTGTTTGACAATACTAAGTTATGGCCAAAAAAAATTTATCAGCAATATTAGAGAGTATTGAAATCTTTACAATTATCTACATTAAGCCTGTTTACTTTGCTGTAGTTTATCAAATAAATTGTACTCAAATCTTTTCTTTGATCAATTTTCATGAAAATTAATCTAGTTCAACTTTTTTTTGTTTATCCATGAGCACATGTAAAGATATAAACACTTTTCTGAAATAAGTAGCAAAGTAGTCTGAGTGGACTCACCAGATATTTTAAATCACATACCTCAGATCTCTGAGTTCTATGTGCCTTTCAGTTGACAGAATGACTTAATCCAATTTCAAAATTTTTGAGTAATGCTAATTAGTGATATTTCTGATCGGAAAAACGAATCAATTTAAAATATACAGAAAATTTAAAATCATATAGAGGAGGCGGAAGGGATAGTGCGGCTTGAGACCATTATTTGACCAATAGGAAACTTAGAAAGTGAGAAAAAAGTTGAGAAATAAATATTTTACTATGAACTTCCGGATTTGCTAATGCTTTATCTATCTTACCTCGACTTGTTAAACTATCTCTTTTATTTATTTTTTCTAATGCACAACATTCATTCTTGATCCTCGTATTAATTTAGAAAATAAGATTCTTACTCCGGCCATGTATACTCCGATGATATTTCTTCTTATTTTTTTCTCACAAATATACGATGTTCAAAAATGTAATTCTAAGAAATCCTAAATGGGTAAGAACTCCTATTAAAAACTCATAATGGTCGTTTTTTCCGCCCAATAGCATCCTATTGACCTTCACGTGTTCACAGTTTTTAAACTATTTTTTTCTTTTTTTTTAATCCCCCTGCTCCTCGAAAAGCTAATAGCTTTTATAAGCGAACAAAGCTCTATAAAGGTTATTATTTAGATAATCGAAGGGAATCTGCCAAGGTAAAATTAATTATGAATATATGGCGTAGCAAAGGATATCTACGATCTGTGAAGATGCCGGAATAAGGAAAACATACGCAGCCAAGATGCAAATGCATGTACAATTTTATTAGAAAGTGCAGTTTTATGCCTTTCTGGTCAATCTTAGCTTCACGAATATTCAGAAATAAAAAACAAAAACATTACGCCTCTGTCTTGAGTATGCGATAAAAATTCAATCTAAGGCAACCGAAGCATATGTTTTTGTATTCTCCCATTCTACAATGCCAAGTCTGAAATTAATATGGAAGCTAAAAATTTATTTCCTTATGCTCTAAATCCAGCCATTTACCGTCACTCATTTAAATCAAAGAAAGTGCACGACACTGGAGCATACATAGTGTCGCCTCCCTTCAATGCGTATGCATACATCATGTACTTACATTGGAATGGGAAATTGGTAATAGTGGACCATGATTTATCATATTCTGCCTTTGAAAGGATTGCCTCCGAAATAATTAATTTGTGGATTACATATCAGGAAAGAAGAAGTTACATAAGAGGAAAGAATCTACTGGTACATTCGTAGGTCAGCGACTGTTGGAATTCCCAAAATAATTTCTCAAGAGCTTCTGAGAAATGTAATGTGATAAAAGAGACTACTAGACTGTTTAATTGGTTGCCCTAAGTAGTATGCTGTGTGTCTAGCAACCCAATATAATTGGGCAGCAAGCTTTTATATTTTATATGAAAATAAAGTGTTTCTCTATCTCTTGTGTGTGTTTCATCTTTATCCTGGATCCAATAAAGTGGGGCGCAGCTGCAAAAGTTAAAGGATGACTGGCGATTTTAAGCTTTTTTAATGTGTCTACAATATTCTGATGGATTCTCAGATTTTTTCATCATTATATTATACTTATATGGGCTCTAAAGTCATCCAATGTCCAAGTATATTCATTCCTTCGTCATTGTTGGTAGTCTTTCGCTTTACATTAACAGTGCCAATCACATGTTCTAGGTCCCTCAGATTCTTTGCTATTAGTCACAAGTATAAGTGGTGAGGGCAATTCACACACATTCATTATTAAGAAGTTTTTATTTTTAATCAATGATGTAATCACCCTCATTATCAACAACCTTCAGCCATCTAGTGTGCGAATTTTAAATGCTGGATTGATAAAAATCAATTCGTTTTTGAGAAAAATATATAGAGAAGGCATTTTGGATATCATCCGAATTCGCAAATGTTTTGAAACTTAGAAAGTGTTAAAGGGGTCGGAATAAATCGAAATCCAATGAGTACAACGTCGGGCGAGTGTAGTTGTTGAGGCAGTATCTACCACCTCAATTCAACAATTTTTATAGAGTTCGTCTTGCGCAATGGGGCCTTGCTTTATCGTGTTGCAAAATACCGCCTTTTCTGATGACAATCGCAGGCCGGTTATCAATTAAAGATTGATTCATACAATCCAACTTTTCACGGTAAAGGTCTGCATTCACAGTTTGCCCAGGTTTTAGCGCTTCAAAATGAACAAAGCCGCGAATACTTCACTAAACATACAAAAGGGCCTTTTTTGTGAACCACAAAAATGCTTCTATATTATGCAGTTGATAATATAGAATATGCAATAAGTTGCATGTGGCGGATGGTCGACCAAAGTTGCTTAACACTGTTGGACAATTCCTTGATTGTCTGACACGGATTTACTTCTACTTCTGTCCTTAAGACGTCATTGTCTAACGTTGTTGGTCTTCCTGATCGACACGAGTTATAAAGATCAGATTCGAACTTCAAAAACCATCTTTGGCATTTAAGAACGTCTAATGCATTTGTATAAACATTTCAAATGTTTTGGGTAGCAAGTGTTGCATAACTACCTCAGCGAAACCCAAAAAGCATGAAATGCCGGATATGAACTTTTGGTATTTTGCTGACTATTCCACACAAAACCGAAAAAAAATTATTTATTTATAACCAAACAAGTCACTAAGAATGGCAGGACTTAGATGTACACAATGACCTCACAAACGACTTTAATTTCTAATCTCCCTAATCATTTAAAGAGGCATTGAGAATTATAGGAAGGATTTAAATTTTAAATAATAAAATAATGTTTAATAATAATAATAAATAATGTTTAGATAGATAGATAGATATAAAATAACTTTATTGTGGGACAAAGTCTCTTGAAAATAACAAAATAGAACAAAGTTAAAAGATAATTTTTTTTTTTGTAACATGTACCATGTAAAAGATGTTTACATGGTATTGCAACGAGAAATAAGTTGGGCAAATTGACATTATAGGCATATAAATGTTAAATGGTCAAAAACCACAAATTCTACGTATGTAGCCGCCATGAAATACGTAGGGACTTGTTGCATTTACTTCGGCACCTCAAATTCTTATGTGATACACCTTGTAACCTCAGAGAAATGTTTTCTTGTTCATTCAAAGATTAATTGAAACCACCAATGTAAAAAAAAAATCCACTCATCTCAATTCCATAATTTCGTGGAGGCTTTGATGGAATCAGTTATGAATTATTTGATTTACCAGTGTTACTTTTGCTCTAGTAAAGTTATATTTAATAATCTTTAATTTTTTTCTTATTTACCATGTTGCTTCTGTTTTGGTTTTTTACTTTCTATTTTGTAGGGGCATGGTTACCTTCGTTTTAATACAACGTAGCTCCGGTACTTAATAATTTACTTTGTCTTCGATGTCCGCTCTGAATCTTAGATGTTTTTCGTTTCATCAACAAACTTTTTCAATCTGTATTCTCAACTGACTACTTCTCTTTCCCTTTTCATGTTTAGATTTTTTATCTCTTCATATTCGTTATTTATTTACGTTCGTTTTTTTCCCTATATATCATCCATAACACTTAATATTTTTTATTTTTATTCCTTGTTTCATATAATAATAATAGTAATAATAATAATAATAATCTTAATAATAATAATCAAGATTATTGCCGCAAGGGGCAACTGATAGGTGCAGTTGCAGGGGTTTTACGATCCCCCGGTTTCTTGAGTACAGTACACCACCTACAGATACACACACAACCGTCCACTAAATCATTTACACTGACACTAAGGACACAGACAGTACACACTCTAGGGCTACCTCCCCTAGGATGACCTGGCAGCAGGTATAAAATGCATCTACCCATCAAAATGGTGCGAACTCGGAAACAAATAGCCTCGGACGAATCCGAAGTAAGGGCTGCTTCGGAGGAATTGGATATTCAGCCTTCGACATCTGCAGGTGGTGCGAGCGGTGCCTCGGTGTCGTATGTTCCCGTAAGACCGGCTGCCATAGGACTTTCATCATTAAACTCTGAACCGTGCTTGGATACCGTTGAGTCTCCCGCGCGAGGAAGAGGAATCATTGGCCAAATAGGTAGGCAACGAAGGATGAAGTGGGACCGCAATATGAATATTGCTGCTATCCGAGCTTACTTATTGGCTACAAACTTAGAGAAAGAAAAAACAGGATATCGCAAAAGAATCAATCGTCACTGGAATGAAAAATATCCGCAAATAGCTGTATCATCTCAAAGACTCGCTGACCAGGTCAAGCAAATATTAGAACGCCAGTTTTTATCCGAATCGGAAATTAATGCAATCAGAACAGAAGCAGGTAATATACTTGCCCGAAACTCACAGATAGAAATACAGCAAGTAGAAGAGGCAGAATTCTCGGCGATTATGCAGTTGGAAACGACTTCTGTGAATACCCAAAAAGCGTCACACATTATAGAGATGCGTAATATACTATTAAGAGAACACATAATGTATGAAGGAATACCTTTGGACAGTAGACCCTCTATACCAAAGGTACCATATTCCAAAAGAACTTTATCCGCTGTCAACACCGTCAACGAGATACTTGCTGAGCATATGTCGATGGGTATAACTCTAGAAGAGATATGTCATTGGATATACGTAGGGGCCCGAACAGTCTCGATGGAGCTAGGTTTGATAAAAGATAAGGTGAATTGTAATAAAACTAATGATTGCAAAGATCCTCCCTGGAAGAGAAGAATTACAAAAAAGATCGAAAATATACGGTGTAAAATCGGAATTATTACTAATTACCTTCGGAACCCAGAAAATGCTTCTTTAAAACTAAAGAAAAAAATTGATGAAATTATTGTATTAAATATTGGAGGAGTAGTAAGAAGTGAGTTAAATAAAAAAGTTGGTGTTTATATGGAAACGCTCAAGCAGAAATTAGCAGTGTTAGCAAATAGAATTAGGAGGTATACAGAAGCTCATGATCGAAGGAGACAAAATTCAATATTTAATAAAAGAGAACAATATTTTTATAAATCTTTAAAACCTAAAAAGGAAAATAATAACGATGTCTATCCAGATCCTATTGAAATATCAGAGTATTGGAAAGGTATTTGGGAAAGTAAAAAATGTTTTAACAATGAAGCAAATTGGTTGGAAAATATTCGCCATAGCTTATCAGATCTCCAACCTATGGAAGCAACCAGTATCACTGTGGAAGATGTGACTAAGGCACTCAAGCAAATGAAAAACTGGAAAGCTTCTGGTCCAGATAAAATACAAAATTACTGGCTAAAGTCCTTAAGCAGTGTTCATAGCCATAGATCTATTGTCTGAAGAGATTGACTTACCAGTGAAGTTCTGTACCGGTACGACTCACTTAATAAAGAAAGGAAGCAAAAACAGGCTGGAGCCACAGGATTTGAGACCCATAACTTGTCTTAATGGTGTGTACAAATTACTAACGGCTGTAGTCAGGAATAAGTTGACAGATTACATTGAGGAAAAGGGTATTATGGCAGCGGAACAGTTAGGTATTAAGGCAGGTTCAAAAGGTTGCAAAGAACTTCTGATTATCGATTCTTTTATTGCTGCTCAAGTTACAAAAAAATCTCGTAATATTACATTGTCTTGGATCGACTACCGTAAAGCCTTCGATTCGGTTCCCCATGATTGGCTTCTGGAAGTGTTGAAAATCTATAAAGTAAACCAGGCAATAATAGATCTATTAGAACGACTGATGAAAATTTGGAGGGTCTCAATCAGCACACCAACTTTGAATGGAATGAGTTCCAATGAATACATATCTATAAAGAGAGGTATTTTTCAAGGGGACTCCCTTAGTCCTCTATGGTGTTGTTTGGCGCTTAATCGACTTAGCAAATTATTGGCTGATACAGATAAAGGGTACCTACTTAACTCTGAAATGAAGCTTTCTCATTCATTCTATATGGATGACCTCAAGCTTTACGCTAGGAATGAAGACGAAATGGAAGCTCTTCTGAAGACAGTAAGAACGTTCAGTAATGATATAAAAATGGATCAAGGAATAGATAAATGTGCAATAGTACACGTGAAAAGAGGAAGAGTTATTAAGGGGAGTAATATTGAGATATCGGAAAATGTAATAATGAATCAATTGAGAGAATCTGATTCTTACAAGTACCTTGGAGT